GTCCAAAACAAGATCTGAAAGTTCTACCTTTTTTACTAAGGCGTGAAAGTATAATTCCAAGGATGAAATCAATTTTTCTAACTTTTTAATTTAATTCTTTTCAATTTATATTTCTATTGAAGTTACTAACAATTTATTTATGATGTAGCAATTTAAAGGAGCGCACGTAATGTAAGTGATTAATTAATTTAATTACTTATTTTGTTTATATTGCTAGTATCATGTTTAGGTTTATTATTATACTTTTGATGATTTGATTAACGATATTATGGTTAAATTGCTTCAAATGTTATTGCTTATTTTTTATATATTGTTGATCACCATATTGCATGTATAGGGAATATGTAATTGAAAATCACGACTAATAAGATAATTAATTTGGACAACCGGCTTAGGTTTCTTTTAATCTTGTTATTTAATCAATGTTCACTAATATTTAGAATCATGTGTTGAATTAATATTCAGCCAATTTAGCCTAATTTAGTTTGGAGCAAATTGAATCTTTGTTTGTATGCCTTTGAGATCGCAAGAAATAATTTTCACTATAAGAATCGAGTAGAGGCCAATACGGGCGAATGTGACTCAATGACTCACTTCGTACCATCATCCCCGATCCTCCTTTCATGGTTCTGAACCATATGGAGTTAGTAATCTCATGGATTATGAATGGGGTGTAACCTTTACGGGTCAATCGTTGTTGCCTTTCGTTGTCCCTTATCATGGTTGCCTTTTAATGATCCGTAAATGATTTACAAGTTCCTTAAAAACTTGTTGGCGGCTCCCTACTTTCCTTGCCCTTACCGTATAATGTCAATTCCCACTTCCGATGATTGCCAAGCATATTCACAACATGCTTAAGTAGGCGCGCTTCGAATGATGCCTACAGATAATAATCACTAACTTGAAAACGAAATTCGGCGTAATCGAGGTGCATAATTTTAATCGCCAGTACGTTCCCTAAGGTAACACACACCACTTCCACACAAAGGCACTTTTGGGTATGAGATGGGAGAGTAGTAAACTTATGCCCAAAGAGAGAATTATGTTTAGCTTAGTGTGTTTGATGATTCTTGTTATCTGAATTTTTTCATTTACTAAAATATATAATGAAAGATAGGATAATCAAGAGTTGAAAAATCCAAAGAGATAAAGCCTCAATCAGAAATTAAGGTGAGTTAACGTCTTAAACACCACATTAACTGTGGGTGTTAAATGGAAGTTACAAAGGAAGAGGAAGAGAAAGAGTCGTTGGTATGCTAACGTGCATTCGCACCCGATCGGGCGAGGTTTGCGCGATTAGGCGAGAGTGATATGTAATCTCAACTTGCATGCGCGTCTGATCGGGCAAGCGAGGTCCGCCTGACTAGGCGAAAAAAAGACGAAAATTAACTTGTCACTCGCGCCCGACCATGCGGGCTCTGACCGATCGGGCAAGCAAACGTATTAAAAAAACACTTGTACTCGCGCCTGATTGGGCCTCTCTATACTCCAATAGCATGGACTACCTAAAATCTACCTGCCCATCATCCATGGTGCGTATGATTTTTATCCTCATCCCCGCTTCACCACCCGCAAAACAAGACCTATCTCCGTTCCACTTGGGTATGAGACCTGCCCACTAACATTCCTAACCTAAATTCAAAGGACGGAGTCGCTTAAGAACTATACAGATCTCTCATGAAGATATTAGGATTTGCTTTTGTGTTCCTTGCTCAAGATGTCTCCAAAAAAAATTGATCAAATATTACAAAACCAAAAGGGTTACATATAAAGCATTCTCCAAAAGAAACATGGCTATATCCGGACTATCGAGCCTATTCACCCCATCAGACATTAACCAATATATCCAGATGCACTACAAGAATTTCCAGCAAATTGATATAGTCGAACTGAATTAATTTGCTCATTAGCAAAGTCAATTACAGTATAAGTACAACCGATTATACAGTGAATCAGTGAATGTACTCCGCATTAAACCCAGAAAATCTGAAATATTGAGTGCTATCATGAAATACAGGTGATGAATCAACAAGGTGAAAAAGACTTTATAATGTCAACAAAAGCCGAAAGGACAAACACAAGGTACTGCACCCTTCTGTTATATTCCCTACGTACAGTTACACTTCATGTGATGTACCAAAATTAATCAAACTCATGACAAATCAAACCCAATCACATTCTTTTTTGTTTTATCCACCACTTTTTCTTTTTCAAAAAGATACATATTATGGAAGAAATCAGGTGCCATTCTTCCACTTTATCTTCCCTACTCATCGATATTCAGCATAAGTAACAATCTAGCCCAAAGCGGTACGCACAGAGCCTTCCTGATAATTTTGGTGTTCAAACAGTTTCATCGCAGGTTTATACAAGCTGACGGACCAGGTAACATTTTTCTACTTACATCCTTACCCCGGCTCCCTCTTTTAGGCAAAACATTCGAGCTCTTCATGGTTAATCTTGAGATATTAAAACTGTATGGCATGTCACGTAGTAACCCGACTTGATGAATGGGTTTCTCTGTTTTTAATGAAAACTAGGGAGACTTTTCGGCTGATGATATAAACTGATGTTCACATATCTTAGAATAAACTTAGGCTTTCCCATGATATCAAATTTTACATATTCAGTGATTCAATTGTGTGCTCATATTTGAATTGCAGTCTAACACTTCATTAGAAACTTTCTGAAATAATCTTCAGATCTGGCTGTAGCAAATTCTCATCAGAATATTACTTTTTTGACTTCTCAAACTTGCACTGTTTATAGGTTTTCAAATGAGCAATGCAAAAATCATAACCCTGTACATTACAATAAGTTGTCTTGCATTTGTAACTTCGAAGATCATTATATCAATTCTTCTTTACAAGAAATGGAAGCGAAAGCATATATCAGTTCAAGACAGCTACTCAGGTACGATCTGAACTTTGAAAGCAAATGTTCTTGATTTTTCCTGATAAACATCTTACAAGGCAGTCAAAAAACAGGTGGAAAAATGGTGATGTTCAGGCCTTCAAGTACAAAAACACTGAAGGCAGATGCATTGTTAAAGAAGGCACTCAAGTTAAGCAACAAGGATATTATTGGCTCTGGAGGCTACGGGACTGTGTATAAACTAAGCATGAATGAAGAAAGATTATTTGCAGTTAAGAGGCTTAACAGGGGAAGTGTAGACCGAGACCGTGGTTTCGAGAGAGAATTAGAGGCAATGGGTGATATAAAGCACAGAAACATTGTTACTCTCTATGGATATTACACTTCACCTCAATATAATCTTCTCATATATGAGTTAATGCCCAATGGAAGTCTGGATGCATATCTACATGGTATGTTTATAACCAACTTAAATTACGTGCTTTGCTTCAATCTTATTTATCAGTACGTTTGAATTTTTTGGAATATGCGAGGTAGACTTTAGAAACATTTTTTACTTGACAGTGATTTTTAAAATAAAATTTTAAAACATCACTTCCAAATTAGAACATACAAACTCAAGTTGATAGCAAACATTTCAAAATTGAAGAATAACTGTTTATGTTATAATATTTATTATATAGGTAGATTCAAAAATAAGAAGCTTTTAGACTGGTCTTCAAGATACAAAATAGCATTAGGAGCAGCAAGAGGAATAGCATACCTTCACCATGACTGTATACCTCACATCATCCACAGAGATATAAAATCGAGCAACATCTTGTTGAACGAAAATTTCGAGGCTCAGGTTTCTGACTTTGGGCTAGCTACTTTCATGGAACCCGACAAGACTCATGTATCCACCATTGTTGCTGGAACTTTTGGCTATTTGGCCCCAGGTACTGAAACCTTTTGGGGTACTTCCTTTTGCTAAATTTTGGAAAGAGTCATATGTTGATCAAAATATTGAAACATTTCCACAGAATACTTTGATACAGGGAAAGCAACAGCAAAAGGAGATGTTTATAGCTTCGGTGTTGTGTTGTTGGAGCTTTTGACAGGAAAAAAGCCCATGGATGAAGCGTTTGTTGAGGAGGGAACAAAGCTGGTCACCTGGGTAAGCCTTCAATTCTAAGTTTGCTTTGGTTTTAATTCACTCCAATATGAAGTAATCAAAGCTAAAATAACATCAAAACTCTAAAGCATATTTTACAGCCACAAAAAACTCCATAGCACACACATGTCAGTATTTGTGCTAAGTGATAATGCTCCGCACAGTGATAAGCTTGATAAGATAACATAAAGAGCTAAAAACGAAGATTATATACATGACAAAAGCTAAGTTTTAGTCTTCTGATGCTAAAAGCAGCTGATCGATAATTTGTTAACTGATGAGCAGGTAAAGGCAGTTGTCCAGGAAAAGAGAGAAGAGCAAGTGCTAGACAGTAGCTTGGAGTCCTGCTCCATCCAAGAAGTAAATTCCGTTTTCAGCATTGCATTAATGTGCTTAGAGTCGGAGCCATTTAAGAGACCGAATATGGCTGAAGTTGTCAAAATGCTAGAAAAAGCAAAACCAGACAGAAAAGTTTCAGATGTTTCATCAGATACTCATGTATAATAAAAGTAATAGAAATCAGTGTTGAGCATTTGTAGTCTCCAGTATCAATTAATTGCAGAAGTAGACAATAAACGTCCAATCATCACTTGGTACAGGTTCAAACTCGTCATAAAAAAGATAAATAATATGAAGTAGGATAGAAGTTGGATTTTATGGCCACAGAGCACAGTTTTTGAGCAACAGGCACGACAAAAATGATACAAGGATTTTTAAGAAACATTAAGTGTAGCCAGTCACAGAGAAATGTGTAGCCACCACAAGGTTACAATTATGTAAAAACGGCACATTGTAGTTGAAACAAGACCAAGCAGCAGGTGGTAATAAGATCAAACACATATTGTGAATAACTTCTCGAACTCAATTGAAATCAATTAGTAAACAAAGATCAAATTCATTTAATATCAAAGCACGCTTATTTATTTTCTATACCATAGACCAATGTTTACAATGAAGGAGATAAACAGAAAATGGATATGGAATTCAAGATAAACCAATTATCCGCTTGGAAATCTATTGAATAAAGACAATAAACAAAAAATAACCAACATCAAGAGAGCTAATAATCTCTAAATCAAGGGTTTCAGGAGCACAAGATTATCAAAGCACAGTGATGATTGCTGAATTTGGACTAACCTGTTAATGAACAAATATTAAAATAATGATTTTACACAACAGCATGCGGTGTTCACTTGAGGCAAACCCTTGCTCGGAAATTTTAAAATCACAATTTTGGCTAGAGTGCTAGACCTTTCACAGTGCAGTTACTACAAGGTGGTTGCCAAACCATCGGCAACAGAAGACTTTAAGGTAGGAGAAACTGGAGATTCTCCAAAGAACACATCAAAAAGGGCTTTTGTGACATTCATCGACTCAATTGTGGCATCTACTTTTGTAGGTACCCCATTCAGTGACACAGACACCTGTTAAACAAATAAAACCCAACCTTTTCAGCAACCCCCAACAGAAAAAATGAGGAGAAACTTCTGTTCTCAAAGTACAACAGATGTACTTACCAGCATCTTGGATGGCTCAAGCCAAGTTAGAAGAATCAAAGTGCCTTTTTTAAGAGATAGCGCTTGGAAGATACTACGGAAAGTTGAAAGAGCTGATTCATCAACAGGAGTCGGTTTCTTTATTCTTGGAGAAACAGCTTCATCCAAAGCATCCCAAAATGTTTTTCCATCAACATCTCTTACTAAAGCAATTTGCAATGACTTCTCCAAAGATGCTGTACAAGAGATAATTTAAATTAGAATTGGACCTTGTGCAACCCCCTCTCATTAGTGTACAATCTACAAACCCATTTTATTGATTTCATTACATTGGTATACAGATTGGAACAAGGCCGGATCCTGTTCAACTTCAGATTTTGACTTTCCTTTCCAAGGACTAAATTCATTCGGCATAGAGGGATTTATATAAAGTCCTGCTGCATACACTTTGACTCCAATAATTGCAAAAACTTTTTCCCTGTAGCCTGAATTTCATTGCAAACAAAAGAATTGACAATGTTGATCATCTCACCTAGAAGAAAAACAGGAAAGTATTTAATTACATTGGCTACTTAATAAAGTTGATAAAACTCATAACCTGCCGAAGTGCACAGACAGATCTCATTCTATTATCTTGACAACTGATTTTAGATAAAGATGAACCTCAACTTGCATTGAAAAAGAACTGGAAAAAAAACACACTCCGTAGTCCTCTGTACTAGAGAAATGCTATGTCTGATACAGAGTAACAAAATTTCTACAAGAGAGGATGACATTATATTCTACACAATCATTTTAAGCAAAGTCAAGTGATGAACAAAGGGCTAGTAGCTTAAAAAGATATAATAGATTTGCCTTTTAGCTGCCTACTAGTCTTTATTGTTCTGCGAATTCAGTTGCCAATTTTTCAGTAGTGAGTTACTGGATTTTTTAGTGATCTCTACCATTATCTCGATGACATCAACCTGTATATGTTAGGGTTAGCAACTACAATGTTGTGCATCAGCAGTCTTCAAAAGTCCAGGATCTGGCAGATGAATGTATCAGGCCAGTTTCAAATTCTGAAATTTGGGATTAAACATTGAACAGTTATGTGTTAAATTCATAGTCCTTTTCAAATGAGCATCTTGATTCAAGGGCTGGTTGGATTCAGGTTTTACAGTAGGTCAACTAAAGCTTAGTCTGCTGACATACTTGTACTACATTTGTAATTTAGAAGAATAAAAATTTGATTTTCGATTATAAGAAATTATTAAAGGCTTCAAGCAATCCAACATGTAATCTACCTACTACAGAAACTATAAAATTAAACTTCGCTTAATAAGTTATTTAACATATGGTTGGAAATTATACAGAGCTGCTAGGTCTTCTATGGATCTTCTTTTAAATCAGAATAAAGATAAAGCACCGCGCCATGTACATAATGTTTTGTCAGACCCACATTGTTACTGGTAGGAAGTTATAACAGGTGCTAGGTCTTCCATTGCTCATCTTCAAAATAAGATATAAACTACGCACTACCCTTATGAGTTATGTTAATGTCAGATTCACAATGTACTTGTAGGAGGCAGCCTTAACATCATTGCTTCATGTTTGTCTCTGAAATGCAGAATCAATCAGAGATTGAGAATTGAGAAGAATAGATGTTCCAAGAATTAGCATTTATCATGTAATGTTCATTTTGATATAGCAAATGAAATATTAAAAACTCAGCATACCAGTTCCAACCAAAGACAATGAAGTCGAACAACCAGGGATATTTAAAGACTTAGGGAATTTCACACGGGTTGCAGGTTCCTCTGCATACTCTGCATTCGCAACTGCATGGTGGTTTCAAACATAAGAGCAAGTCAGCATCTTAATTCAATTTGGTGAGAAGAGCAATAGAAGCTGTATAACACGATACGGAGTAGTTTTCTCTACTTCCTTTGCTTGTTTCCATATTAAAAATTCTCCATCCACATCCACCTTTGTGTTGACAAAGATATTAATCAAGGTTCATGATTAGAATAAACTCCCTCCCTTCCCTTTTGTTTGTCTCATTTTACTTTATGCACATACTTCATGCATTCTAACTTGATTTTTTTTCTTTTTTTTTTTAATTAATATGTTGAAATTACACATCTAAACGAATCAAACAAGATCACACGTGAATATGTTATTCTTTCTTTATATATCGATGAATACTTATCATCAAAGTTTGTCTCTCTTCAAATGGAATATTCTAAATTGGACAAACAAAAAGAAAGGGAGAGAGTAACGAGTAGTGCTTAAAAAAAAAAAAAAAAAAAAAAAAAAAAAAAAAAAAAAAAAAAAAAAAAATTGGAAGGACAAGGGAAGTTCATGAAAATTCACCAAGGATTAGTTTATAATTTTATCAACAACCTACTATGTAAGACTAATTAATAAATTTGGCACAACAATAACAACATTTCAAATACCAAAAATTTCACAATTCAGCAATATTTCTTTTAGCATCACTCTTTTAATCAATAAATAAAATTTAAGGAATTTCAAAATAAACCAACTAGATTAACAATATAATATATACCCACTAAAATTGAAACACTGCATTTGTTCATAACTCAACTAACAGCATAAAATCAGTACTATTTAATTTCTATGAAGAAATTCAAGTAAATATTAAGCTAAAAAATAGCCAATTAAGCATAAAAATTATACCAGAAGATGAAGCAGAAGCCTTGGGAACGAAATGGGTGCTGAATTTCTTGCCATTTCGGAGAGAAAAATGGAGGGCTTTTGTTGATAATTTAGAGAAAATGCAGGATTTTTTGGGGGAAATGAAATTATAATTGTTTCGGGTGAAAACAATGGGACCTTGCCGAAGGTCCGCTGAAACGGAGAAGACTGGATTCGGTCCAAGTTATGTTGGGCCGAAGGTTTCCTGCACAATAAACACACGTAAACTAGCCTCGGGGGTGTTGCCGAGGAAGACCCCTCCGATGCTAAAGTCAGTACAATGTGTGAAAAGAGAACACTATGCAAGAGAATTAATTGCTTGAGGCTTTGCTTGAATATCTCAGAATATGTAAATTTGTGAATGAATGAATCTCCATGAATGTATGAATATTGACGGCTTTTATACCTCTTCATAAATGGGGAGGTTGGGCCTTAGCCCAATTGGCTTGCTTTGTGGGCTGACCTTTGACTTTAGCACAATTGGAGAGTTGAACCTTGACCTTGGGCTTTTAATTGGATCATTTAATGCCTAGGCCCAATTGGACTAAATTGGACCCAAACAACTTGCCCCCCAGACCCGATTTGGAAGGATGACGGGTCGGGTTTGATTTAATTCAGAAAAGGAGGGAAGTAAATGATTTAATTAATCCAAAAATTTGAATTTAAACCGTAATTAATGAGATAACAACGGTTAAGGTGGATGATTGTGGAAGTTGGACGGATAATGGGCAGTTTAATCACAAGATCATGTGTTTAACGGTTACTTAGTGGAGTATTTAAGAGAAATTGAAACGCAGACTCCTCGAATCCCATTCCTGGAGATATAAACAGAGGCGCGTCATCTCTTCTCACTTATTCACCAACACAAACCCAGAATTCTCGAGAGAGAAACCAAGAACCCGCATCAAAACTTCGCAAATTCCCCGAGCATTAAGCTTAGAAGCTGAGACTTGCCACTACGAACTCGTAAATCGGCAACTTTCGCTTCAGATTAAGGTAAATTCCTTTGATTTCAGTTTATTTTTCTTCGAATTCGAACTCCTTCCCCTTTTTTTTTCGACTTTTTTCTTCGAAATAATCAATGGCAAGAGGAGTTAGAGGTAGGGCCCGTGCTCCAAGAAGAGCAAGGCCGATTCCCGATCCTAGGAACAGGATTGGGACCTGGAATGGACAAAGGCCAGAGTCTGACCCTGCTGATGGGATTAGGGCGACTCCAATTTCTTCGGCTCCTCCTCAGAGAACGGAGGGGCCGAGCGCTTCTGGACGGGACGATGAAGTTCCCGCTGTCCTTTGGGATATCCTCCCCGGGTTTTCAGAGTGGGAGAATGCCGAAGTAGCTTCGGCCATGATAAAGAACCGCCCCTACTCATGGTGGGTAGAGAATGCCGAACAATATCGGTTTGCCGAGCAAATTGAGTTGCATTACGACATTTTTGAAGCTGATGGGTATTGGTGCCGAATGCCCGCGGCATCCGATAGAATCCATCGTCCACCCCCGGGGTATGTGGGGGTGTATACAAGACAGCTTCAGTATGGGCTGAGGTTCCCTTTGGACGTATTCGTCCGAGACTTGCTGATCCATTACAATATCTCCCTATGTCAGTTAACTCCCACCAGCATCCGAAGGGTGATGACATACTTATGGGTCTGCAAGTTCTTCAAGTATGTGCCGAACCTGCACTGCTTCAAAAAGCTTCATCGGCTAGTGCCAAATATTCAAAGTGGGCACGGAAGCCATGGTTCTGGGTGGCCGAACGACTCTTCAGACAAGGACTGGAGAGGTCAATGGATTTGGGTTAGGGCACCCACAGATCCGGGCCACCCTTGCGTCTTCAGCGCTCCCCGGTACCTTGCTGAGCCTGATCCCGAGATGGGAAGTCTAGGTCCCCCCGCAGATAACGGGGCGGATCCGAACCTTGATCAACAACATATCTTCGGCAAGCTGCCGAACCGGGGGGGCAGCGGCCGAATGCAGCATATCCCGGAGACTTGGCTCCCCGATACGCATTATGTTTTCCAAGAGAACATGCTAGCAGCTGTTGGCCTCAGCCGAAAGTTTAAGGATGGTAAGCTTCTTCGGCTGGGGCCGAGGCTTTTTAATTATCTTTCTCTCGCTTCGCTTTTTTATGCTGTGCCAACCTATCTGAACTGACCTTTCCCCTTTTCTTTTTCAGAGCGGGACGAGACCAACGTTGGCATTAACTACGCTCGTCTTGGTGTCAACCGAGAACGAGTTGTAACTGAACGGGCCCCGTCTATCACTGAACCGAGGCATAGGGAAGTTCATCTAGACTCTTCCCACTTCCAAATTGAGGCTGTTGCTCTGTATCAGAGGCAGAAGCCTTGGTGGAAGAAGAGAGACCCCTGGTTTCAGCTGCTGGACGAAGAAGCTGAAGCTGCCCGTACAGCCGAAGAGGTTGCACGGGTTCTCGAAGCTTGCGAAGGAGGAGAAGGGTCCTCCAGAGCTGCTGAAGAAGAAGCTGCAGCTAGGGCAGCTGAAGAAGAAGCTGCAGCTAGGGCAGCTGAAGAAGACGAGGCTTTGCTGAAGACCTCGGTGAGCTTTCGGACTTAACTGTTTTTCTTTTTTTTTTTTTTTTTTTTTTTTTTTTTTACTCACATTCTTCCTCCCCCCTGTCTGTTACAGTCTGAAGAGAGTAACAGACACAGAGAAGGGAAAGCCCCTGTTCGTCCCGAAGACCAAATACAAGAAGAGTCTTCAGACTCAGATATGGACGAGCAGCCCCTTCAGAAAAGGCGCCGAAGGATGGCCATCATCGGGCCGCATGACTTTCAGCGAAGGCCGATGACCATCGGCGTTGCAATAAGGGAACCCGAGGAAGGCAATGGATCGCCGAGGGTTCCCCGGCCACCACCCCAATCACCTCCAAAGACCCCTCCGCCACCTCCTGAGATGGAGGTGGATCAGAGAACTCCCGAATCTAAGGGAGGGGTCCAAGAAGAAATTAAGGAGAGTGCTGCTGAGCACAAAAATAGGGATGCCGTGATGCCCAGTGCTGAGGGTTTCACGGCAGACATCGCAAGAGAGGTTGAGGCTTTCGTCCTCACCACTGAAGAAGAGGAGGTCATAGTAATTGACTCCTCTGAGAAGGATGATGCTGAGCCATCCAAAGCTAAACAAGCTCCATCGTCATCCTTTCCCTCCTTCCAGACTCTGCAATCTGGAGAAATGGGTTTCTCGGCCCCCCGAATTCCAATCCCAGATCACATCTGGGACCTCATATGGGGTCAGAACCGAGAAGGAGCTGCAGCCTACTTCGGCGATTTTGCTGGCATGTCCGAAGTAGATAGGGCAAGAATATGGTCGCTGAAGGCCACTGCTGGGATGGGCGAATCCAGCAGATCAGTTCCTGACCCAGCCAGGGCTAACCAACTGCTGATGATGCAGGTGATTTTCCTTGCCTTTATTTCCTCTAAAATTCAGCTCTATTTTTATTATATTTTTTTTTATTTTTTAACTTGTCTTCCTGTTTTCAGTTCGTCCACAATCAGACTCTCACTGTAGAGCTGATAGATACCCTACAAGATAGGGTAGACGCTGCTGAGCACGACAAGAAGGTAGCTGAAGAGGAATTAAAGCTTGCTAAGCTGAAGCAAGCAGAAGCTGAAGAGAAGCAGCAGAAGGGTGAGGAGTACGAGAAAAAAGCTGCTGAAGCCCTCAAAACCTTCTGCGACGCTATGGAGAAGGAAATTTTTCCCCCACTGATGGAAGGGGAAAAATTCCTCCGGGAGCACATGGGAGTGGACGTCTCCAAATTCAAGGCTGCCGTTGAGAGCCGTATTCAGGAAGGAGCTGCTGCACAAGCTGAAGTGCAGCAACGACTAGAAGCTCTTGAAGCCAGCCGAATGGCTGCTGAAGAGCTGCTCCAGGCCAAAGATGTCCAACTCTCAGAGGCTGCTGCTGCTGCTGAAGCTCAGAGAGCTAAACTCCATGAGGCTGAGGATCAACTGATGGCCAAAAAAGTTGAAGTGGCCCAGGCTTAGACGAAGGCTTCCCAAGTTCAGCAGGAGCTGAATGAGCTGAAAGGTTCCTCCTCCAAGCTCGCCGATGAGCTGAAGAAATCCAAGGAAGACTTGGAGGAGACCTAGAAGAAGTTGGCTGATGCTGAGGCCCTACTCAAAGTCCGTGTCTATACCCAGGAGGAATATGAAATGGGTTTCAGAAACGGGTTCAGAGTATGCCGAAGAGTCTGCCTTCATGCTGAGCCGAAGCTGGACTGGTCCAAATGTGCTGAATGGGTCCAGAATCCCGAAGACCCGCATATGAAGTATGCAACTCCAGTCGAAGCTGAAATTCTTAAGGCTGAGGAAGCCGAAGAAGAAGCTGAGAGAATGGAGTTGGAGGCTGAACAGAGGGAAAGGGAGGCTCGGCAGAGTGCAAAGCCTGCTTCTTCTGCTGCTGGGGTTGAGGCCACCATGGGGCTCAACAATGCTGATCAGTCTGATCCTCGGGCTGAAGCATAGGAACTCGGGCAGTCGTCTTCAGAATCTTGCGGTTCATCATGCGCTTAACTTTAGACTTGCCGCTTTCTGAATTTTTTGCCTCGTTTTTTGCTTCAGCTTGCCTTGTCGTACAACTGTTTATTTACAACTTTGCTTATGTACGTATTTCGGCAGCTGTTATTTTCCGCTTGTGGGCGGCTGCCGATTCAGTTTAATTGAACTTGATGCTCAATTTCTGAGTATGAATTATTAATTTGATGCTCTTTTCTTCAACTGCTTTGTTTTTGAATGCTTTACTGTTTCTTTCATTCTGCCAAACATTTTCATTCTGCCGAACATGAACTTGCAGTGATAGTGCTTCTTGCCCCCCAGAAATTGAAGTATGGCTTCAGCTGAATAAACAATTTCTTCACTTCTTTAAAATGGGTATCCGAAACACGGGGCCAACTGAAGGCAGTGCTTCGGATAACGCCTTTGGAGAACAAATCTTACTGAAGCTTGACTTCAGCTGAAAGACTATAGTTCTTTAAAAAGACGAGTTTTGTCAGCAATCTGAAACCCAGTTACCCGAAGGCGAAGGTTTCAGACGAGGCTGTTATCCTTGATTTTCTGTCTATCTTTGAAAAATGGATACCCGAAACACAGGGCCAACTT